GCCTGTCAAAATAGCAAAAACGTCAATTTTCAACTGTCAATATTTCCAGAACAGTTGAACTTAGGGATCAAAATTTAGTACCAAAATGTATGGAACTAAAAACTCTCCAAAATGATGTATCACTTGACCCTCCTTCCCATTTAAGATTTTGCAGGTGGTGGTTCTGGGAGCTAGGGGGTTGAGAGGGGGAGGTGAATTTTGCATAAAAACTCATCCTCCTTCAAATTATAGTTGACGTATTTCAGGGATTTTTCCAAAAATTTTCAACTCCAAGATAATAGGGGTGGTAAGTTTTAAAATGAACACCCTGTATAATGAAACCGATCCAGATGTATTCACAAATCATTTTGTATTTAGACACCCTACAACATAACATAAAACTTGCAACAACAATAAAAACATTCAATAGCAAAAATGTCAACAAAAACCCATGGATTACACCATCCTTGATTATTAAATCAATAAATACAAAATACCTATTTTCTAAAATGAGGTATCATTTGACCACCCTTCGAATTTGAAAATTTTAACGTTTGCTTCTTCGGAGATGATTCATCAAAACCTTTCAGCGGTTTCTACAAAAAAATATATATAGGGTGGTCCAAAAAAAACCGGAATTTTGTTTTTGAGCTGTAACTTTTTTATTTGTTGACCAATTTTCTTTTGTTTTGGCTTGTTTAAAAGAGAAATGAACAGAGTAACGGATCAAGGTAAAACTTTTGACATTTGAAAAAAATCCAAAATGGCGGACTCCTTCAAAAATTGCCTATTTTTGGATAGCGCTGGAACTTTTTTGTGACACCCTGTATAAGTTTTTTTAATAAATTCTTAAAGTTCATCATTTTGCGAATATTTTAAGACCTCGGCAGAAAAAAATCGGTTGAAAACTAAGTGAAATATTGAATTTTTTGTAATATCGAATTTCACTTTTTTATATTGACAGCAAAATCTGGGATATGCTATTTCAGCTAGATTTTTTTTTCTACTCGACATATTCTTTCTATTTCGGGCTTGTTCGGAAGATAAATAGATAGGGTACGGATTCGAAATGAAGATTTTGACTGGTTGAGAAAAAATTAAAGATTTCCCAGTTCCTTCAACATAGCTAATTTTGAAAAAATAGCGTTAAGTTTTCTAACAATACGACCAATATTTTTTTTATAAATTTAAAAAAATAAAGTAAACACATTTAAGGAGCGATATGCCCTCCGTGGGTTTCAACAACCTATGCTAAACGTCTACGCCAAGAATCGATAAAATTGGCAATGTTACATTGTTCCAGCAGTTCTTCCCAACACTCAATGATTCGGTTGCGCAGCTCTTCTAAATTATTGAACGTAGCCCCACTTCCGTGGACTTTTTCTTCCGCCTTATATCACCCTATAAAAAGTAATCGCAGGGATTCAAATCTGGGCTATAAGGCGGCCAGCGGCCAGTCCCGTTGACTCGCCGCTCTATAAAATTCGCAACTTGCTCTCTTAGATAGTTGATAGTAAAGAATAATTAAAAGTGATTTAATGCTGAAGCATGTTGAGCGGGACTACACATTTGAACTGTCCTAATTAATAGATTTAGTGCCCGTGCTGAAATCCGAAAAATCTGGTTCAGTGATGGTAAAATTTTCACCTTATCCGGAGTAAAGAATTCGCAAAACGACCAAGCTCGAAAAGCAGATAGAGGAAGAGAAAAATTCAGCAGTTATTTAATGGTATCTATCTGCAGCAATTTCTCGAAGCCACAAAGCACAACTAATTGTTATCGACCAAGGAGTTCGCTTGGATTCACGCAAGTATTGTCAGCTTGTGTTCGCCATATGCTATCCGAAATCAAGGTTGTTTGAGAGAGGTAGGTTGCCTGATAACTTTTATGACGTCATCTGAATGCCTGAACATAATGCAAATCTCCATATGGCACTCTAGATGCGTCATCAAGTTACCCATTACCAGACAACCTGTTAACTTTAGGAACCTTGATCCGAAATTGAACAGCTCACACCTCAAGACTACACTTTTATGCAGGTAATTTTATAACTCACCTAGTTAACATTTATTGTTCGGATTTTGGTTCTCACAAAAACTTTGATAAAATTGTACGTTTTTGTATTTCTCTTTTTATGAGATACCTAAAAGTGATAAATACTGTTTGTATATAAGATGGAGCCAGGTGACATAATAGCCGCTTTACTATCAACTATTTAAGAGAGCAAGTTGCGGATTTTATACAGCCCGTTGACTGGCCGCCTAATAGCCCAGATTTGAATTCCTGCGATTACTTTTTATGAGGGGATTTGGGAGAGAAAGTCCACGAAAATGAGGCTATATTCAATAATTTAGGAGAGCTGCACAGCCGAATCATTGAGTGTTGGGGAGAACTGCTGGAACAACGTAACATTGCCAATTCTATCGATTCTTGGCGTAGACGTTTAGCATGGGTTGTTGAGGCCCACGGAGAGCATATCGCCTCTTGCCTCTTCAATGTGTTTACCTTATTTTTTAAAATTTATAAATAAAAATATTAGTCGTATTGTTAGAAAACTTATTAACTTTTTCAAAATTGGCTATGTTAAAGGAACTGGGAAATCTTTAATTTTTTCTCAACAGTCAAAATATTCATTTCGAATCCTTATCCTATCTATTTATCTTTCGAACATGTCCAAAATAGAAAAAATATGTCGAGTAGAAAAAAAAAATCTAGCTGAAATAGCATATCTTAGATTTTGCTGTCAACATAAAAAATTGAAATTCGATATTACAAAAAATTCAATATTTCACTTAGTTTTCAACCGATTTTTTCTGTCGAGGTCTTAAAATGTTCGCAAAATGATGAACTTTAAGAATTTATTAAAAAAACTTATACAGGGTGTCACAAAAAAGTTCCAGCGCTATCCAAAACTAGGCAATTTTTGAAGGAGTCCGCCATTTTGGATTTTTCTCAAATGTCAAAAGTTTCACTCTGATTCGTTAGCCTGTTCATTTCTCTTTCAAACAAGCCAAAACAAAAGAAAATTGGTCAGCAAATAAAAAAGTAACAGCTCAAAAACAAAATTCCGTTTTTTTTGGACCACCCTATACAGGGTGTATATTTTAAGTGATACCACTATTGCTATATCCGAAACAGTAAGATCTACAAGGTCGGTTAAATTAGAAAAAAAATGCCTTTTTTGATACCCATTCAAGATTGTTTACAGTGTTGCCAAATTCCTTTTAGTTTATGAAATACAGGGTGATTTCCAAAAAACGCCTAAAACTATTTCATCAATTATTTCGAAAACTATTAATATTCGAGACAAAATTTAAATTTGAAAGTTTTTTAATTCTTTTTGCTCTACAACATGGCATCTTCAAATTTTGAATCCGACGTTTCGCCTTTGAGCCACCATCATCAACTCCATTTTTTCAAACATAGACCTGACTTTCTAAAAATGACATAAAAAATTTAGGTCCGTATTTAAAAAAATGAAGTTGATGATGGTGGCTCAAAGACGAAACGCCGGATTCAAAATTTGAAAATGCCATGTAGTAGAGCAAAAAAAATTAAAAAACTTTCATATTTAAATTTGATCTCGAATATCAATAGTTTTCAAAATAATTGATGAAATAGTTTTGGGCGTTTTTTGGAAATCATCCTGTATTTCATAAACTAAAAGGAATTTGGCAACACTGTAAACAAGTCTTGAATGGGTATCAAAAAAGGCAACTTTTTTCTAATTTAACCGACCTTGTAGATCTTACCGTTTCGGATATAGCAATAGTGGTATCACTTAAAATATACACCCTGTATATACAGTGTCAGGGCCGTATCTAGGGGGGGGTCTTGGGGGTTCAAACCCCCCCCGAAAAATAATAAAATTCAAAAAATTTACCTTAAAAACAAACAACACTTATTAAATACTTATTTATTTTTTTTATTTTTATTACTAGTGTAACAATTTTTTTTTGCCACTTTGTCTAACCCCCCCCCCCAAAATTTTGGTCTAGATACGGCCCTGTACAGTGTCATTACTTAAGTGTGCAACATATGGGATTTTTTTTTAGTAATTGCACAATCAAAATACAAACAAGGCCAAAAGTTGGTGCATGTCTGATAATCAAATAAGGTGCACTTAGAATGGTTGCAAGTCAAACAGCATACAGGGTGGCTCCAAAAATATCAAAATTCTACTAATATTTACTAATAAAATAAAACTTTTGCACTTTAAGGAGAGTTTTTTTAATATAACCATCATCATTAGTAATGTTTTAACTTGTTAAAAAAAAAAATTGCGACATTTTAAAGTTGTGTTGAATATCATTGCAACAAACATGAATTTTGTGATTCCATAAAAAATTAAAAATCTAAGTTAATTTTACAAATATGCTTGAATTTGAACAAAGTTATGTAAAATTGATTTGATTTTAATTAATTTTTGAAAGTAATAATGGCGGAAATAAAAAATAAAAAAAATATAGAAATTATAGATTTTTTTCAAAAGAAAATAAAAAAAATCTTAGGAGGCTATGTTTTGGTATTTAGGCATAACTTTTAATTCTAAACAACTTTTCTCTATAACATTTTCCTGAATTTTCTAAAATAAGGGTACTTTACAGTACAGCTTTGATATCGTTTGAGCTACCCTGTATGCTGTTTGACTTGCAACCATTCTAAGTGCACCTAATATGATTATCAGACATGCACCAACTTTTGGCCTTGTTTGTATTTGGGTTGTGCTTTTACTAAAAAAAATCCCCATATGTTGCACACTTAAAAAATCACACTGTATATATTTGGGATTGACTGTATTCCCTGGGACACCTTGTACGGACCTAGAGGCTTGAGCTATTGACACTGATACTTATTGAAGTCCACTTCCAAACACCCTGTTTCATATTTTCACTGCCCTAAAATGTTGTCAGTGTTGAAAACATATTTCACACTTGAAGATCAGTAAAGTGCAGTTTTACACCTAATTTTTCATAAAAACATTGAGGACAAAAATTCTATTGTTATTTAATTTTTTATAGGGATGGTAAAATAGCCGAAGCCCTGAAAAGAGCATTCCTCGAATTCGACCAAGCTATGCTTGAAGAAGAAAGCCTTAAAAATGAACAATCAGGATCAACTGCCGTTGTCGTTGTAGTAAAAGACAAAAAACTTTATTGTGCAAACATAGGCGACTCTAGGGCCATCGGTTGTGCAAATGGACGTTTAGAAAAATTATCCTATGACCACAAGCCCAACAATCTAGAAGAATACGAAAGAATTACAGACGCAGGAGGTTGGGTGGACTGTAATAGGGTCAACGGAAATTTAGCCTTATCAAGAGCTTTCGGTGATTATGTTTTCAAACGGGACTCTAGTAGAACAGCGGAAGAACAAATTGTCATAGGTAAGAAAATTGGATAAAAATGTATATGCATGATGTAACATAAAAATTACCTTACCAACCGTCAACTGATATGTCTTCTTTCTTTTTTATTTATCTCAAGCATACACTATAGAATATTATATTCTAAATGATAGTTCCTAAAAGTAATCAAAATTAAAAAACATAATAAAATACTGCACAAAAATGAAAACATAGACATGCAGAATCAAATCTCAGTTAAAGTCAAGCCGCATAAAAATTAAAACCAGATAGACAAAGGTATATATAAAACGAAAAATGAATAGGAGTGACAGTTAAAATTACATAAACATTATCATCTTCCTGATTTGTGGCAGGGAGTAGTTGAAAATATCACAGTCGCAGTAGAAACGCTTGTAGTTAACCACCAATCTGTTGATGAAAGCAGTTTAGCCATAGTTGGTATGATGTTGGCCTTCATAAAACAGTTTATGTTGCCTAGTGCCCCTTAAGGGAACTTTTAAATATATGAAGCCTAGCAAGATGTCACAGTCAATCATCCCATTGCACAGCTTGTAAAGCAAAATAAACATAGCTTCTCTTCTTCAGTGTTCAATACTTTTTAATCTACAAAGCATCAGCCTAGTTTCATAGGTCAGTCCGTCTGAAGGAAAATGGTGCTCATATAGAAGGTATCGGGTCTTCAATAAAAAAACCAATCAAAGATTGCTATGGTTTTTTAAACGTATGTCTTAGCACTATTTTTCTTTAATTTTATCAATGAACTTTAATGTCAAAATGTCATGTCAAAAATCCTGACCAATAAAGAAACAATAATGCGACATACGTTTTCGTATTCAAAGCAATCTTTGATTGGTTATTTTTTTGAAGACCCGATACTTTGTGAACTTATTTTGAACCCTTGGTCCAAATAGTTGAGCAGTATTCTAGTGTGCTACGGAGAAGTGAGTAATACAGACAGCCTACTGCTTTGGTATCCATTATACAGGGTGGAATTTTTAAATGGAATAAAATTAGTATACTAGTTTTATACAGTTCTTGGTTGCAATTTTTAGTATGCCGATCAGAAAATAGATGGAGACTCTGTCTCCATCTCACTTGTATCAAACCCAGTTCCGGGACGGAACCAAAAATGGGTTGTGTTTTCTCTCTGCAGGACATAACCGTGCTGATGACCTGTGATACAGCGAAACGCGTCCACGGATGGTCCAGCAGAGAGAAAACACTTCTCAATCGGTTCTTAATTGGGCCGTTACCTAATTAAAATTAGTATCAGAAAGCGTGTTTATTTTCTGGAAAAAAAAAAAAAAAAAAAACTGGTCCCTTTATTTTTAGTTTGGCACATTTTTCGGCCTTTTCATGGAATTTACCCCTCTCTTAAGAGTAAACGGCACTCATGAAATTGCGCAACTTTGCCATAATTTAACCGACCCCATAACTCTTACAGTTACGGAGATTCCAATGATGAGGCTCGAATTTGGGCCACCCTGTACATCCTTATATATCCATCTGACATGTTGTGAATTAAAATCTCCATAAATTAGCAATTTATGGAATTGGACCAAACAAAAACGCTCTAACTGGTGTGTGATTTCTGTGAAAACAGACCTTATAGAACCCCCTTGTTTGAACACGATATTCCAAGCAACTATTTTCCAATAAGCCTAATCTGCTACCTACGTAATATTTTGGGAATAATCTTAAAAGATTTTTTTTTCAGAAAATAAATTCATCTCTGATTTCTAACTAACTTCTTACCAAAAAGTTATTCTTACAAACCCAACAACTATACTATAATTTTTGTTTTTTTGTAGCTCTTCCTGACGTAATCGAAAAAGAACTAACACCGGATTGGGACTTTATGGTATTGGCATGTGATGGTATATGGGATGTCATGTCAGATGAAGACGTGTTGGCATTTGTGATTGAAAAAATCGCTAACGGATTGGAACCGGAGGATATTTGCGAAGGTTTAATGATGAGATGTTTGTCGCCCGATTGTCACATGGCCGGATTGGGGTGCGACAATATGACAGTTGTAAGTAACTAAATATTTGAAATTTTCAAAAGGATTTTACATTAGTTTTTTTTTTGTTAGGTAATAGTAGTGTTTTTACATGGTAAACCCTATCAAGAAGTTATAGAGAAATGCAAAAGTTACATGGACGATTTAAAGGTATTAGAAAAAGAACAGGAACCGCCTAGTGTTCCTGTAGCACAAGAATCGATAAAGGATTTGGAGAAAGAATCAAATAATATTGAGGAAGCAAATAAGGTTAAAGAAATAAATAACATTGAGGAAGATACTAAAATTGAGGAGGCAGCTAATAAACCTTCGAAAAATACGTGTCCTGGTAGATGCCTGTCAAAGCAAAAAGAATGAGACTAGCATTTGCGATTATTTTAAGCTTTTATGTTATATAATTTTTGTTGGATGATGATTTTCCTCTGTGAATAGAATTTCTCTACACTCATAGATTAAATAAACATTTGCAGTATTTCTGGGTTGACAAAATTTAATTTCAATTGTTTTTCACTAGATTATTTGAAATTTGTTTGAGAAAATTTTACTTGTACCTATGCAATCAATTTCATTATCACATAATAATTTAAAACTTGGTTCAAATTTGTAGGCATTTTGTGCAGGGCACTATTTTATATTTTGTCACTAGTTGTTTTATGTTTTTTTTTTTTGTTATTATGTCTATCTACAGGTAACTTAATTTAGTCGTCATAAGGAAGCCCAATCACTGCACTAAATAATATTCGGCAATGTCTCCATGGATGGGGCAGCAGTCGTGTTTTTTTTTTTGGAAAAGCTGGAGGAAGGCAAAAATTAATTATTACATGAACCAAAGTTTTTCATCCATGGACATAGTTTCTACACTTTACTTTCTATAGTCAAATGGTAACAAGCAACTTTACTTGTCACCAGTGTACCTACTGATCTAATTCAATTAAGTAACTGTGAGACTGTCTCATTAGATTCTAGCTGTTATTTTATATTTTTTGGTGTTCACTGACTGGGACATATTTTTCTTAGATTGAAACAGTGATCATCATTATATTTTATATTCTTGTCTGTTAGAACTTAATGTATTGTAATATAGATGATTTTTAATACAGATTTGATTTTTTTTTAAATTTAACTCTTTCCGTATGGCGGGTTTTCCGAACATTTGTGCCCCACAGACGGAGTGTTTGACATTGCCGCACGAACGGGTGTCGACTATGTGCGACATTAAAATATTACGTAGTACTTCAGTATCAGATAATCCGTAATGGCTATCGTAACTTGTTTTTTATTTTTTCGCTCTTGGAACAATCCCCGAGGGACCAGCTACATTCTCTGATGACATCTTGAGCCTTACTGGCTTGAAAATACAAACAGATGTCGGATATGATCGACAGTGTCGACTATATGTGGCAGTCGCCCTGGACTTGTAAGGTTGCGAGATGTCGCATATGATCAATGGTGTCGACTATATGTGGCAGCCGCCTGAGCGTTTAGCATGCGGTGGAGGCAAATGTTGCGACAGCAGTCTGTATGCCAGATCTAAAAATTGAATGCGTCGCATCCTAACCGACAGTCGTCCAGGACACAGATTACATGCCGTCAACTATATGCAACAGCCGTCTGTGTGGCACATTTCCTCGGTGTTGCATAGGCTGCGTCAGCTGTACGGAAAGGGTTAAACAAACATTCTATCGACAACTAAAACATATCGGATCCTGTTTGTCTAGCTTTTATTTTCGCTTCTTCAGGAGTTAGTTTTTCCTCTACAGATGGTTCAAGCGGATTACCATCTTCATCTAATTTGCCTGATTTAAAATCATCACAAATTTTTTTGGCGTAAACTACATGAAATAAATCCTCTGCTGTAAATTCTGACTGTATTATGTCTGGAACGCGATATGAAACATAGGGTTTCAACTGGAAAAATAAATAAAAAATCAGCTTTTTGTAGTATGAGTTATTGTTGATGCTTACTTTACAGTCTGTAAGGTCTGGGACAATCAACTCTGGAACCTTTTCGGGAATTAATATAAATTTGCCATCTGCTTGCCTATATCCTACTTCTCTGACACCTCGAGCTATAATGCAAAGAATATTGTTATTCAAAATTGAAAGGAGTTTTCTATGATCTACACCTTTTCCAATTGTATTTCAGAAGGTATCAAATGTATTTCAGAATAGTCAAATGTAGTTCAGAAAGCGTCAAATGTATTTCAGAATAGTTAAATGTATTTCAGAAAGCGTCAAATGTATTTCAGAATAGTTAAATGTATTTCAGAAAGCGTCAAATGTATTTCAGAATAGTTAAATGTATTTCAGAATAGTTAAATGTATTTCAGAAAGTGTTAAATGAATGAAGAACTGCACAGTCATAGGTAGGTAATTTTTTGTGTTGCCTCCCTCCTGAATTATTTCCGCCGAATTTTCACTTTTTCAAATGCTTTTGGCTATTCTGAAATACATTTTACGCTTTCTGAAATATATTTAACTATTCTGAAATACATTTAATGCTTTCTCAAATACATTTGACTATTCTGAAATACATTTAACCCTTTCTGAAATACATTTGGCTATTCTGAAATACATTTAACACTTTCTGAAATACAATTGACAGCTTCTGAAATACAATTGGAAAAGGTGTAGAAAAACTTACTATGTAAGAATTCGGGATCCTGAATCTGGGCTTGTTCTTTCTTAAATTGCCTAGTGCCCCTTTTGTTGAACAATTGGAATTTTCTAAAATTTCGTTTGCCGTAATTTGTTGCTGTTGTCGAGATGGACCGTTTCAGAATTAAATTAAAGGACATTTTGGTTTTAGAATGTTTTCAACTTCGATATTTTGGTTGCGACTCTGACTGATTGTAGGTTATGGTTGGTATTTTATTTATCTCTTCCTACCTAATTTCTTCCACAATGCATTCATCTGACGTAAATTTTCGACAATTTACTCTGGGCACAGCCATGTGACGTCACTGCAGGGTTGCGTTTAGAAATAGCACTGGCACTCTGGGTGTCAGAGTGACCCTAGAGTAACTCTAAACCGTTCATAAATTAACGGGTGCTTACTCGGAGCGTTACGCTGGAATCATTCAGAAATCGAGAGTTGACGCGCCCAGAGTGCGCAAATTACTCCACTCAGGGACTGGGTTGAAAACTCCCTGAGGTTTCTTCATTGGTTTTTACCAAGGAGAATACACACTCTAGTCTAAGGAGTGCTTATCGGCCTCGTTTTGGGTAATCGCCGCCATCTTGGTTTTCAACCATTGCCGACGTCATCATAACTAAGTCGCCAGTAAACAGCCTAAATATATCCTGTTCACAATCCGATGTCCACAGGTGCAGGTGGATTTATCACCTTTAGTTCATTGCCTTTCCCTATCAAATAGCATTGAAAGGTGAGAAACTTTACCGGTACCAGTGGACATCGGATTGTGAACGGATAATACGTCAAGGTGAGAAACGCCATGCTGCTTACGTCACAACTGGTTGTTTGGCAAGGGGGGGTTACACACACACAGGACAGGCCTTATAAGGATAGGCCATCCTGTAGTAGTAGTGTGTATCATCACTATCATCCTTGGGTTTTTAAATGGATAAGCAAAGAACGCTTCTAATGCTGCTAATTTACGAGGTCATAATCTAAACAAAAACAACTGACTGGGACAGCGGTAAGCGTGCGCAGTAGATACATGTACTGTGCGTGCACAAAATCTGGCCAATGAAAATGGAGGAATTTCAAAATTTAGAACAGTTGTTCCAATGGGACACATCTATCATGCATTCTTCCGATCCGACTCCGATCATACAAACAGGGTCCTTATTCTTGGAACAGGAAGCAGCGTTCCCAGGAGAGCGAGTGTTCCGCTGCTCCCTTGTTCCAAGAATAAGGACCCTGATTGTATGATCGGAGTCGGATCGGAAGAATGTATGATAAAGCCAGGGGCACATCTATCATACATTCTTCCGATCCGACTTAGATCATACAATCAAGGTCCTTATTCTTGAAACAGGGGAGCAGCGGAACACTCGTTCTCCTGGGAACGCTGCTCCATGTTTCAAGAATAAGGACCCTAATTGTATGATCGGAGTCGGATCGGAAGAATGCATGATAGATGTGTCCCGAGCTTAAGGCGGTTACACACGGACTTGGATGTCTGAAAACATGTACGCACATACATGAACGCGCAAACAAAAACATCAATGTGTATGCAAAATATCGTCGCGTTTTTGAATGTGCAATTTTGTATGCACACTCGGAATACTGTAGCAAGAATAGCAAGACTGCAGTTTTGTGCGAGCGTCTGTACAAAGGCGCAATGCACGTTGTTGTTTGCACGTTGATGTATGCACGTATATGTATCAAGCCATCCACGTCCGTGTGTAACCGCCTATAGATGTGTCCCGGCTTTTAGGCTGTTCCGTTGCACAACTGTTCGTAGAATATTGACCCCAAATTTTCGCACAAATTTTGCCAATCAAGCCGTATGATTGTTTACCCATTTATTTTTTAGATCAGTGGTTTTTACCCGGATTCTGTTTTAAGCCCGGGACACATCTATCATGCATTCTTCCGATCCGACTCCGATCATACAATCAGGGTCCTTATTCTTGGAACAGGGACCAGCGTTCCCAGAAGAACGAGTGTTCCGCTGCTCCCCTGTTCCAAGAATAAGGATCTTGATTGTATGATCGGAGTCGGATCGGAAGAATGCATGATAGATGCATGGGCGTCGTTACGAGGTTTCTCAGGGGTGGGGGGGCAGTATCATAATAAGACCGTTTCCATTAGCGCCGTAGGCTAATTTTTTTTGTGTGCCACGCCCCTTTTTGAGCATTTTAACGTACTTTTTTCTATTTTAGTGTCATATCGAAGTCTTTTCGACACTAAAAGTAGTTTCGAAAAGAAGCTCTTTGTGACACTCCTTTTTTACTTATCGGAGGTTGGTGACACTGGCTGACTGATGGCTATCGAACTGTCATGCACAATGAACTAGTTGTATTCCTTTCACACCTAGGAGGAGCTCCGGAACAGCTCCGGGGCTTCACGCCCCTATTCCTTTCGAAAATTGTTTGTTGCACCACGCATTTGTTCCCTGCAAATTGGGGGCTCCTGAATACCGGAGCGAGTAGCTCGAGTGTTTCAAACTCTTGAAAGGAATACAACTATTATAACCAAAAACTGGAATGCTAACACATAAGGACGAACTTGAAGCCTAGTGCGGCTGCTGCGGAGGGGATACCTGTTTTTGTCGCAGTCATTATGTTAAATGGCGAAAATTGCTTCCAACACGTATTCCAATTGATGAAACCTGTGAAGGGAAATATGACAAAACTTTCGAAAACGTCATATGTCAGCGAGCAACAGAAAAAAACAACATTCCCGCTTGTGGCATCTGTCTTTCATGGCTTCATTTTTTTGGCAGATATGGCAATGTGTGCGCATTCCAGTTTTTAGCTATAGTTCATTGGTCATGCACGATTTAAATAATAGAAAATTTCTATATTTGGCATGTAGTGTACCAACCTAAGCATATGAAATCAGGAAATATGAGAATAAAATTTCCAAGAAAAATTTGTTTTTTGTAATTAAACATTACCAAAATAGAAAAAATAGTATAAAATATTCGTTTCATAAGACGTCATTTTATCGCACTCGCCCTTTAGAAAACTCGCCTCCGGCTCGTTTTCTAATATAGGGCTCGTGCGATAAAATGACGTCTTATGAAACTTGTATTTTAATGTACTAATTTGATATCGATATTTAGTTAAAAATGATGGTATTTTTTTCCGCAACAAATTCATTGTCCGCATCATTTTGTTTAGGTAATTTTCTAATGGCCAGTATTATAAAACATAAACCGATGATTGAGTTTCAACCTTCGGTTGACTCCATGCAAATTGATAGGATTCAACCGAAGGTTGAAACTCTACCATCGGTTCAGTGTTTTATAATACCGGTCATTAAGTCAAGTGAAATTCAATTCCGTTGAATGTAATGAAAATGTCAGCCAATTTTTCACCGCACAGCGAAGGTCGTTACTCAAATAGGTAATCACTAATCTTTCAGCAAAATACCTATACCTATATTTTATTAAAAATACCTACAGATACAATTGCACAAATTACAAGTTTTACAAAAATAGGAACGAAAAACCAAATTTTTTCCAACGGGACAGTCTAACAAAAATAAAACTACAAAATTGTAGAACTGCTTAGGTAGAAACAAAGGAAGTAACTTCTGAGTCTAAAAAAAAAATATTTTAAACTGTTACTACTGGGTCCTTATTCTTGAATTAGGGAAGCAGCGTTCCCGGAAGAACGAGTGTTCCGTCTTTGTTCCTTATATTATCATTTTCATATCATTGATAAAGACTGAACACTCGTTCTCCTGGGAACGCTGCTCCCCTATTTCAAGAATAAGGACACAGGTAAAACTTAAAACAGAAAAATCATTCATAAACATAAACATTTTAGTCGCAATCGAAAGATAAATAATAGTAAAGACTAAAAACCAAACACTTTTTTGTTAAAAATATAAAATAGGAACTCTCTTGCACTTATTGCAAGATACACACCGTTGCCAGACTATAAAATAAGTACGTAACAAATTTTGAAAAAAACAGAAAAAAGCGATATGATTACGTACTCTTTTACTGCTTTCTTGTTCAAAAGACTATTTCTAGAGGGAAGGGGGCCCCCCCCCAAACGACGCCCATGGATAGATGTCCCTGGCTTTACGAGTCGAGTCGGATTGTCTCGATATCGAATACGACAGCTCCGGACATACCGGGTAATACTTATCAAAATAGAATGTTCTCGTGTCTCAGATGCTACGCTAATACGGTACCGCTGACAATACGGTATTTTTAATGGTATTAGAAAGTTCTCGTGCCTCAGACGCTATGCTAATACGTTACCGCTAACAATACGGTATTTTATAGTTTTCGGACACGAAGAAAAATCCTCTAATCCCTTATTCTGTTTACATTTTGACAGCTGAATTGAGGGATCTAACCCATCTTTTTTTTGCTTGTTTGCCAACTTTTATTTATCCTGAGGATTCCTCTGAGTTTCATTAATTTTTCTTTGGTATTTTTTATGGAGAAATTATTAGAAGTTGTTTTTGCAGACGTAAATGGAGCGTAAACTAATTTTCACATAGCATAGCGTTACGGTAAGGCATCCGCTAACTCCCGTTAGGTAGCGGGCTCCGCTAACGTTAATCCCGTAAGAACTGTCATACTTGTCAAATAACGTTACGGTATTTGAAATTTGGACAGCACGAGAACTTTCTATTTTATAGTTCTCGGACACGAAAACACAAAAATCCTCTAATCCCTTTATTCTGTTTAGATTTTGACAGTTGTATTGAGTGATCTAACCCAACTTTTTTGCTTGTTTGCCAATTTTTGTTTATCCCGAAGATTCCTGAGTTTCATTAATTTTCCCTTGGTGTTTTTTATGAAGGAATTATTAAAAGTTGCTGTTCTTTTAGACGTAAATGGAACGAAAACATAACATAGCGTAACGGTAAGGCATCCGTTAACTCCCGTTAGGTAGCGGGTTCCGCTAACGCTAATACCGTAAGAACTGTCATACTTGTCAAATAACGTTACGGTATTTGAAATTTGGAGAGCACGAGAACTCTCTATTTTCGTGAAATAGAATCGCTATTTTGACAATTCAATACGAATTACGACTCGACTCGTAAAATAGAATCCGACAGCTGGGGGCGGATTACGAACTCTCGATTCGAACCGAAACCGCCATGTTACACAGAAATTTTGATTCCAAACGCACTCCATGCGAATGCATTTCGACGAAAGTCACTCGACTGGTCGATGCGTATCACTTTCGTATCGAGAGTCCGTTTCGAG